GGCAGACAGCTAAAACCTCATATAACCTGTTTCCTTTTTGCAGGATTATTTATTTTTTTTTTAAAGATTTATTTATTTATTCCTGCAGAACTGGGGTACAAGCCAGGGGTGCGGAGGAGGTGGTGAGAGGCTTCACCAGAGACAGAGTGGGGGGCAGAACAGGCAGATCGAGGAAGTACACTGCTGAGGGGAGCAGAGGGCGGGTCAGGAGAGGTCTGCCACGCCATGTGGGTCACCTCCGGGGCCCGGGATCGAACTCGCACTGAAGCTGCTGCGGCCAGCTTGCAGTGCTGCATCCTAACTCATTGCGTCTCCGTGTGGAAAGTGATTTTTCTACTCATTTTGGTAGATTTCTTTGATTGTCCTCATTCTGGGGGCGGGAGCAGTGAGGGTCTGGTGTTCTCTGCATATTCTCCTTGGTCTTCTCAGCAGCTGTGTTCCCACCCAAGGCAACTGCGTCTCCTGGTCCCTGAAAGCAGTGACGCAGAACCGGGCTTCACAGTCTCAATCTTGACTCCTCTGCCTGTAGCTGTGTGGCACTGGCCAAGTCACTTGGCCTATCTGTGCCTTAGCTTCCTCATCTGTAAACGGAGATACCAATAATAGTGCCTGTTTCAGTTGGGCACAGGGAAATCTCTGTGGGCATTTTTTGGAAATAAAGAAGTTGGTTGAAGTGGACTGTTCTTAAACCTGCCTTCTCCCTGCACTCAAGTGGCAGTCAAAGTTCTCTGGAGAGTTCCTGGTGTTGCCTTCACCCAGGCCCTGCACCCCGGCCAGTGGTGAGCCCTCTCAGCTGCTCCCGAACTGTGCTCAGCCCTGGAGCATTCTTGCTGGAGGCTCGGGGATGCTTCCTCTGCCCACATTCCCGCACGTGCGTGCACCCCCAGCCCTTGGCCCAGGCTCATCTCTCCAGCTTGTGCCCCAAGCAAAATGCATTGGGAGGGGTGGGGCAGCCACTGCCAAGGTTAAATGTTATTAGAATAAAAGGCTTTCAACAGGGCAATCTGAGTTCGGGATTTTATATGTCAACATAGCCATTTCCCTGATTGGGCCTTTTCAGTTTAAGCAGCCTTATTTTCATTTCAATTCACATGATTATAATCTCAGCAGTTGCTCCCAGAATAATGTGCTTTGCTTTAGTTGTGAAACTTGTTTGCAGAAAAATAAAGCCAACCAGGCAGCCCCACAATGAGCCCCAGGGATTGTGGCATCGGCAGGAGGATTAGGGTTCTCCTGCCAGGGAGATGGGGTGTTCCGGACCAGACTCCTCCTGGGCTCTGGCAGGGGGTTGGGGTTGGGGGAGGGGAGCAGTGAGGGATGGGGATGGACGTGTTACTCACCAGCCCGAGTCTCAGCTTCCTGATCTCAGAAATGGGATGTTCCTGATGGTTATGAGGATGAAAAGAAATTAATTGTGATAATAGAGGCACTTAACACGACGCTGGCACTTGGGCATGCTCAGTAAATGGGGCTGCTAAGATTATTAGAGCAGTGTGCTCATTAGTACTAATGATGATTATTGGCCAAATCGTGCTTTTACTTAACAGCTTTATTGAAGTATAATTTGCTTATCATAAAATGTATGTGTTTTAAGTGAGCCAGTCAATGACTTTTGTAGATTTACAGAGCTGTGCAGGCCTCCCCACAGTCGAGTTACAGCACCTTTCCAGGGCCTCAGAAAGATGCCTCTTGCCCTTCTGCTGTTGCTGCCTGCTCGTTCTTGCAGGCCTAGGCAACCGCTGATCTGTTCGCTGTCTCTACAGGTGTGCATTTTCTGGACTTTTTAAGTAAAGGGGATAATAGCACCTTTCATTAGTTTTTCGCACCCCTTGTTCACAGTAAATTTTCTTTCTCAAAGATTTATTTAATTTATTTATGCATGTAAGAACTGGGGTGTAAGCCAGTGTTGCGGAGGGTGAACAGATCACCAGAGACAGAGTGGGGAGCGGAACAGGCAGATCCACTGAAATACACTGCTGAGGGGAGCAGCTGGGAGATAGGTGAGGAGACAGGCGAGGCCTGCTGCACTCTGTGTGGGCTGTCTCCTGGCTGGGGATCGAACACATGCCTCAGTGAGTGGTGTTAGCTTCGGAGTGCTGGTACTTAACCCCTGCGCCGCCAGGGAGGCTGTGCAATATATTTTCCTTATTCAAATGTGTCAATGGAGTATGAAGTTTGAGGGAAGCTTCCCTGGGCAGGCAGACAGAGGGCTTTGTTCTCGGGGCTCCCAGGGCTGGGGAGGACATGAGCTTGTCAGGAAGCTGTGAGCAGGCTGGGCTGACTGCATGAGGTGACTTGCTTGTCTCACTCGCCCTGAATTAGCCGGGCTCAGCCCACGAGCCATGGCAGCCTGAGCTGTGCCAGCAAGCTCCCGGCTCTCTTGGGCCCCTCCTGGAGTTGCAGATAGTTGGGGGCGCCTTTCTTTGCTCAGAGAGGGCGCAGAGGAGGCACTGGGGGTGGGATGATGAGTTTCCTCTTCCTTTCTCAACTGTGCAGGTAGTCTTGGTGACTGACGGGCGGGACCCCTTCCAGACCCTCGTCAAGGGTTCTGACTGGACAGTACTGTCATTCCCTGGGGCATGACGCTTGGCTGTACCTCAATTTCCTCCTTATACAGCTGTGGGATCCTCCTGCTCACCTCAAAAGTGACTGAAAACGTGTTTAGCAGAGACCTGGGCACCCAGGAAGGGTTCCCTGTGAGTCAGTCTGAGCTAAGAATCAAAATAATAAAAAGCAGGTTGCGCCTGGGAGGGGGTGGGGGCTGAGCAGGTCCCCCAGCTGCCCCAGCTCCAGCCATCTCCTCCCGGGGGGGTCGGGGGGCCTTTGTCTGCACCGGCGGAGCCCAGCTGGCAGGAGCTGGGAATTGGCGGGCAGTGGCTTGGGCGCCTCCCGCCGCATCTAATCCGAGGAACTGGCAGCGGCTGCGTCCTTCCCGTCCAAAAGGGCCCCGTAATGTGAGGCCCCCAGGGGAGCAGGCGCCCTCACTCCGGCGCCCTCACTCTGGGAGGCGCCGTGCGCCGGCTGGGTGGCTGGGTTCAGAGGTGGGAGGCCGCTGGGAGATGCAGGACTCGGGCCTGGGAGCTTTGCAGAGCCACAGCCTCCCGGCAGAGCTCTGCCAGCGGTGCCAAGTGGGGTCAGGCAGCTCTTCGCACGGCCAGGGCCCAGGTCTGTGGGCCCTGGGAGGTGGGTGCGGTCTGGCAGAAGGCTTAGTCAGCTCTGGGGGCAGCTGCGCTGAAGTCTCTGCAGGGGGCTTTCTCTCTGCGCGTCTTGGCGTTGGCTTAGAACAGCAGAGGCACAGTGGAGAGCGGGGTGGGGAGGGGGTGTTCGGGACCCCAGATCTGTGTTGTATCCCTCTGATGTGTGTGTGACTGCAGGTGAGGGTGTGTTAAGAGTGTGTGTGCCCCTACGTGTCAGCTTGTGTGTGGGTGACAGTGGGAACGGCCCTGTGTGAGTGGACATATGTGACCGTAGAGTGGCTGTGTGCTTGAAGGTGTGCGTTGTGGGGGTTACCTGGGAGCTGGGTGTGTGTGTGTGTGTGTGTGTGTGTGTGTGTGTAGTGCCGGCGTCTGTGGTCCCCTTGAACTCCGTCTGCGCTGCCTCTGGCCAAGACATTCTGGGTTTGGTTTGTGAGGCTTTTCTGAAGACTAAGCTGGGGTGGTGGGAGTTGTGTGTGTGTGGGGGGGTGGTCTGAAGAGGGGGGCAGCGCTTTTTTTCCCTCCGGATTACAAGAGCAAGGTCAGCGCAGCTGAATCTGAGCTTTTGTTTGTTTCTCTGCTGCCCACAGCAGCCTGTGGTCCATTTCATTCATTATTAAGTTTTAAATCCACCCGACAGAAACTTGAGCCGTGGAACGCGTTCCCCACTCGCTTCGGCCCCACCGAGTCGGGGACGTCTCTGGCTTCATTTGCCATCTTCATTTTCATCTCTTCTGTGCTTTTGTTTTCCCAGAAACAGCAACCCCAGTTTGTTTAGTTTTCTTTTGAGGCTGGACTGGCCTGCAACGGCGGGGGGCAGGGCGGCCTGTCCCCCGGGAGGGTGACCGACGGGAGTGTGTGCCGGGCGCCTCCCTCAGCCGCCACGGGGTGGGGTGGGGGTGGGGGGTTAAGGGCCCACTGGGCTCTGAGCTCTGCCCATCTGGGTCCCAGTTCCTTGTTTGATCACTGCACTGTCGGGCCACCTCCTGGGGAACTGAGTGAATCCAGGAGCGAAGAGGAAACAGAAAAGAACTCCCTGCATAGGATGGCGTGGGCTGGGACTGCCACAGACCCTGCTCAAGTGCCCTTTGCTTCCTCCCCGCCTTGCCTCCGGCTCTGAGGCTGTGCGCCCGTGACTTTGCCGCTCTGTCTGTCTGCTACCTGAAGCCGCAGCTCCAGCTTCACCAGTCCTTCCACCCCCACAGAATGTGGTATGGACAGATTCATTGATGTGCATTTTATTTTTCTACCATATTTTGCCTGTGTTGCCCGAGGGCCCGGCAGGTCTCGGGGCTGGAGGGGAGTCCGCTCCCAGGTGGTGAACAGGTGATGGGACTTGCCTCCTTCTGGTTTCTGGGGACGACGGCCTGTGAGGTCATCACTTCCGGTGACTTCGTCCAGGCTGTCAGG